ATGTGGAACAGAGGAAGTACGTAGTAGCCGACCACCTTTAAAAATGATCTGATTTTATAGATTATATTACCTGTATATTTCAATATCACGTCATAATTGTAATTCCTTTTGACCAATTGTAGTGCAGATACAAGAAAACCTGTGATTGACTGACTGAAATATATCAAGTTATAGCCAATCAAGTTGGACTCACTCATGAAATTGAATTCGATTGAGTTTATTCTTCCTCCATGCATTTTGAGGATGAAACCATGTCGGCTTTTTCCGGGGTTCACAGTAGAGGGTTTCCATCCCATACGTTTTAACGCAACCGACGCACAATGGTGCCGGTGTGAAATGCGCATAAAACCATGGAGCTTAACGTGACCCGATGCAGTGTTGGAGTACTGGCCAACCAGAATCCTAGCTTTGCCAAGTTCAAACTTTAAGCAATTTTATTGGTGAAAATCATTCTATTTTATCCAATTGAAACGGGTTTTCGGTTCTGCAATCCGATTCGTTGCCTATGTTCATTTTGCCCTATCATGTGTCGCGGTCATCAATCGCCAATCGGAAGATCGGAAGCGGTGCATGTTGCGATGGCCGCCGCGGTCGTCGACATCGTGGTCGGCGCCACCTTCGCGGTGGATCACGTTCATGCAGCCATGGCCGTTCTCTTCCAGGAGGTAATTGCCGTGCGGACGAGTTGTCTCTCATGTCTTATACACCCTTCCATCGGTCTCAGCGTCGTTTACATGGATTCCGTATGGCCACATGGCAACATTTCTCTCCACGTCGCCAGGCACTGGGACCCACGACGTCGCTTCACCGCACCACAAAATCACACTTCTCTTCGTCCGCATGATGGATCTGCTGCATTCACATCCAGAACTCCATCACGTGGCGCCAGACGAAGCCCTGATGGATCGGTAGGCACACTTGTGCGTGACAATGGTGTCACCAATCGAGGTGTAGTGTCCAAGCCGCCATTTCCTCGCACGCGGTGTCGTATCAACAGTCGCGGCACGTCATATTGATCATGTGCCCGTCCCCACCGGACCTTGTTGTATCCTACGCCTCTTACCAAGCTGCGTTTTTGGCCGGCTTGCCTCGGCACATCGTCGTGGTGGCGGACGTTTTCGCATACTACGACTCGCCGTCGCCGTATTACGACCCCGTGTCGGGTATGCCTTGTGCCACAAAGTCGCCGTTGGCGACCCATTTTTCATAGACAAGACGTTGCACAACCCGTACACGACCGCGATGAGCCACTTGTTGGCGTTGGTGGGCACCCGCCACATTTGTCGCGTGTTCCGCGCCATCGCAAAGGTACAATCAAACTCTCTACGCCATGATTTGTTTTCATGGCAGGAGTAGGTGATCGTCGTCGATTGCGACAATACGCTGTGGTCTGGCGCGGTGTCGGAAGACGGCGTGGATGGCATCACGATCACGCCGTCGCACGCTGCATTGCAAGCATACCTGGTCGAGCAATTTGCAAGAGGGGTGTTGATTTGCATATGCAGCCGCAACGTCCTGGACGATGTCCGTGCTGCGTTCGTCGCTCGTCGAATGGACATGGTGCGGGCGACTGGCTGGGCGATTTGTGTCACAATGTGGCCCAGGTGTTGCAGTGGGATGAGCACGTCTTGCTAGCTCAGGTCAACCACCGCCCGAAATCGAGCAATGTCCGCGCCATGGTCCACAAGCTCAACGTTGGCATGAACAGCGTCGTGTTTTTGGACGACAGCGCTGTCGAGTGCAAGGACGTTGCCGAGAATTGTCCAGGCGTCACCGTCGTCCACGTGCCGGTCCCGCTTCCACTTAACGTACGTTGCAATGTCGTGTGGAGAGCCTCTCGCTGTCTTGGAATGCAGCAATCGCTGCCTTGACCGTTCGAATCAACCTAGTTTCCCTCGACTTGTTGGGCTTTGGATGCGCCATTGGGAACCCCAGCCAGCGCTGTCGTCACAGCTGAAGATGAAAATCGAACTGCAATGTACCGCGCGCAACTGCGCTTGACGAGAAACCCTCCACCGATGTCGCCACGGCTACCGACTTCCGCCGACACAACGACCAGTTCGCTACAGCTGTCGCTGGGGATGCACATCGACATGCAGCTGGTCGACCGAACCAAGACACCGACCTCGATTCTGTCGCGCCTCGTGCAGCTGTGCCAGCGAACGAACCAGTTCAATTGCAACACAACGGCGGCGCGAAAATTCTCGAGTGAAGTACGACATCGGTCGCGATGAATTCGAACACTGTCCTGCCTGTGCGTAGGCAGACGTGCTCGCGTACGACGGTGCCATCTTATATGTCCACGTGACTGATCGATTCGGTCATTATGGCCTTGTGGGCATGTTGATGTGGCGAGATCGACCGACCGACGCCACGGCAGCAATTGACGTGTTCCTCTTGAGTTGCCGCGTCCTGAATCGCGGAATCGAACATGCCATGCTCCAGCACGTCGCTGACACCTCGGGAGCTCAAGTCAACACACTCTTCGTTGTGTTCGAAGACACGGCTCGAAATGGTGGGATGTGTTTTATGTTTTGAAAGATGTGTGGCCGTGATGACTTGACGCGGCGCTGGTGGCAGTCCCGGCCAAGACGTTTCTCGAGCACGTGCATGGAGTTTGCAAAGAGGAGAGAGGGTATTCGATGCCTCGGTCGACGGTCCTGGCGCTGCACACCCAGCCCATCGTGACGACAACCATTTCGCGATCAACGACTGCGGCTTCGACAGGTAAGGTCGCACCAGCCTTGAATCGAAAGGAACGCAATGAAATTTTGCCCGTGTCGACGAGTGCACCAGGGCCACGTGGGGTCCCGACTCGGCATTTTTCGACGGTCGCCGACTTTTCGGCATTTTTTAGTCGGGTGTGCCCGACTCCTGCGCCTATCCCAACTGTTGGAAACGTTCCTGAAGCAGCGTGCAAGTTTCGCCGACAGCAACGCGAGGCCGTGAAAATGCTTCACCAAGCAACGGAGGCCGCCGCGATCCCGATTTGGACCACCAACAACATGGCAGACCGACAGCCGTGTCCCCAATGCCGCGTGCACACAGTTGGTACGACATCCTCATCGACTTGGACGAATCGACGACGGCTGGATCACTCGTGTAGCACGCGCAAGTGCATGTTCATTTGAACGGTGCCGAAGCTGCTGCTACAACATTCAAAAATGGCTCCATCGAGCACACGACCATCCGCACCCGACAGCCCACGCCGCCGCGCTCAAACAATTGCAACTCGCACAAGTTGATGCTACAAGCATGTCCATGCGGTGCTGCCAGGTCCACAGGAACCCCCGCCGCGCGAACGACAAGTGACCGGACGTCGCGGCAGTAGTAGTAGGTCGGTGCGATGTGCCTTCGAACGCAAGCGGCCTCCTCCCGTCGAATTCGAAGGCTATGTTCCTGTCGGGTGTCGACGCATCTATGGTAGCTCGAGTCCGTGACAAACAGCCATGAGCTACGATGGCCTGCTGCGTGGCGAAGGTATGCTAGAGAGCACTTGAAGCGTGGTGGTTGGGTCGCCCAGTAGGTGTTTGGACGCGGCAGGATCACTCGTCCGCTTCAGCCATACCCTTAGGACTTCGGTCATACTTTCAGGGGGCAGGAGGTTGCTAGAGGCAGTCGATTTCCTCCAGCCTTGGTTCAAGGACTCGAACGATGTGCGATGCTGCGACAGGCACAGGGCCACGAATTTGTTTCGACTCGTACTCCATGCTTCATCCACTAGCCATGCTGCATCAACACCATCACATGAACATGCCACAGTCAAAAGAGCGCATCGGAGTAGTCCACGGGCTTTCCGACAACTCCAATACATATCGGCACTCTCGGTACGTGTCGAGCTGCATGCTTGACGCCTCCAGACACAGGGCCTCCTTACACAGGCGAATCGTGCTCGCCAGCTACGCTTCCCAACTGGCAGACGCCATGAGCATGAGCGGCGAGAGACCTTCTCGACGTCCACTGATTGTAGCATGGGAATGCCATCACCCAAGGTGCTGCTCCATAGCTGCGAGAACTCTGTTTTTGCAGTGCCCATCTCATAATAGTACACTTCATGCACCAGTCACAGTCCAGTCGCTGCAGGCGCTACGGCGTCGTTGCAGCATTCGGAGTGGGTGCTTGCGACGACTGTGCCGGTGATTCGTCGAGCTGCATATCCCGTAACATTGTCGCTCCTTTCAACTGGCCGGTCGCTGAGATCCCCCGCACGGCACCGTCGATGGCGTCGTTCATCTCGACGGTCGGTTCGTACCTTCGTCGAGTCTTCCTCGCCGCTTGCGCGCTCTCCTGCTCGCAACAATATCCTCGCATCAGTCTCAAAGCGCCGCCGTTTTGAGAAACGATGCACCAGCCTCCTCCTCGGCACATTACCTTGGTCTTGACTCGAGAGATCACCCATGCCACGCGTTCGTCGGCTGGGAGCTTGTACTCCTTCTGCAAGTGGCAGTCAAAACGACCAACCACAGGTGCAAGGGCTAAATGTACCTCTGCCAGATCGACGGCATCAGCGAGCCCGATCGCGCGGTGGGGTCCGCCGGAGGGATATCCCTCTCGATAGGGCTTGGACGCGTCATCCCAAGGGACCACCGACGAATGCGGCACCGCGGCACTAGGCACCAGCGTTTAGCATGCGACCAGACGCGCGCCGCGTCCGTCATGGAGCGGGCGATGCTTCATGAATACGTTCGAGTGGAATGGGTTGTCGTGCAGCACCTTTTGTTGCACCCGTAGAAGTAAATCCAGTAGTGGGTCGACATGAACGGTACAAATGCCTCCATCGTCTCGGAATCCACCGCGAGCATGTGGGGGCTGCACACGTAGCCAGGCCAGTACGGCCATCCTCGCAGTCGACACCACGCCACCTGGCTGTACATGCTCTTGACTTCGGGGGATAGCGCAGCGTTCTGGTCAAACATGCGCGCTGCGAGCACCGCAGTGTCGTGCAGTTCCTGCTCGGGAGTCTTGAGAGTTGTGGGCACAGCAGGCTTCCGCTTTTTCCTTCGTACGGCTCCTCCTGTTGGACTGTAATATCCACCGTATTCGGAAAACGGGGAGTTGGCCGGCGCCGGAATGACCATGTCGACTACGACGTCGCTGTCGTCGTCGGACGAGATCTCAATCACCTCCCCTGCTGGACTGGTCAACATGATTGGAGCGCGCGATGCCGTGAGCGACCGCACGGAACGCACTGTCGTGGCGTCCAGTGGCGGTCGCCGCGTGTGACGCCTTCCGACTCGGGCCATCATCCTGTGCAAACTGGTGTACCTGGTGAGATACTCTCGAAAATTGGCTTGGGAAATGGCAAAAAGTATACCACTCTGGTCCAGGAAAAGAGGTCGGTTTGACTTTCAATTGGCGGGATTTTTGTAATATTGCATATCTTTTGAAACTAATTGGCTCACGA